ACGTCTGCCATTAAGTAACGCGACAGCGCTGTGGAGCCAGCGGGCGCCGGCAGGGCAGGGCAGGGCCGGCGGAGTGCGGAGCCCCGCGGGGCGCAGCCGTGCCCGAGCCCGGCCCCTCTGGCACAAAGGGCACTGCAAATCCCAAGCGGTTACGTTGCTATTAGGAATATAGGTTTGGGGAGCAGTCCTCAGTTGAGCGTTGACAGGCAGGGGGAGTTTGTTTAGTGCTCAATGCGAAAGGAACAAAATCCTTTTGAAAAGGCGCTAAGTAGTTTCACGCCAAAGTGGCAGATTTGGTAAAGAATGTGCGGTGGGACAAAGCCCCGCCGCACTCAGCCGCAGTTCCCAGAGCGGCCGGAGCACTTCGGCACTCCTCACCGGGAATTCAAACACACAAATAAAGCGGGAGAGCCCAAATCTCTCCGCTTCCTTCTCCCTGCCGGCCCCCGAGAAGCAAAGAGAAACAGAACCATCACAAAAAAAGAGAGCGAGGCTTAGCCGAAATGCAGCCACAACCAGCAGCCTGGAGTTGACTTTCCAAAACGGGGGAAGCTTGCTCAGAGCCTGGCATTGTGTTTCGCAGCCTAGGAAACCCTAAGAAGCTGGTACTTCCCCCCTCCCTTCTCTTTTCTCCCAACTGGTTTGTAAATATTAACAAGGTTGTGTGAGCTATTCTCTCACGGTGTGTGGATTTTTTTATCCCTGGAAAACTTCTTGGCTTCCTCCCACAGCCCCTCTCCCACTCCTCCCCCTCTGCAAAGGAACACACCTGCCTGCAGCCAGAAGGATTCAAAATCAATATTGTATTTGTCACTTTTCTGTCTCCTTTTCCTCTCTCAACAGCCCCGCTTGCCACTGAAGCGAATTGTGGATTTATGGAGGAAAATTAGCATAAATTATTACCAAATCTGTAAACGTGTGTGGTCTTGCTTGTGGGAAAGGAGGCTATTGCGAACCTTCCATGCAGAAAGGTGGTCCGTGATGGGCTCCATGGAAGGGCTGAATGGCTATTGCACGAAATAGATTTCCATTAGGTTTGCACATTGATATAATTGACTTATGTGTATTTTATACAGTTTTCCCAACACTTCTCTTGAGCTTCTTATTTGAACTAGGCTTCAGAAAAACGTCTATTTGTTTTGGTTTTCTGCACAATGGATTTAGAATCACTTTGCAAGCACTCGCACTCGCCCCCTCTCCTCCTCCCCTAATGTTGGCTTTCAAAGTAAAAGGCAAATGCTACAAGTTACATTTAAATCCTATATTGCCCAAGTCTATCATTTGTTGGGTGCTTAACACGAGGTGAAACTCTGGGTATCAATTACCGGGATCGCTCTGCCCGCCCTAGCCCTCCGCTCACACATTCCTTTGCACGGAGGAAAAAAATCGGGCCGCTTACAAACATACCTCATTTGCACTCGGAGCAGCAAATGACAACGGAAGTCGACTTGTCTTTAACTTTACAGCTTATGGGTTCCCATTTGCGCCAGTGGGGTTTTTTTTTCTTTCTTCGAAAATAAAAGGCACCGGCAAAAAGAAGAAAAGAATTTGTCAGCCTGTGGATTTTATTTACGCCCGTGCTGCTGCTTTTGAGCTCTCGTTTTCACAGGCATCCCGAGGAGTGAACTTGGGCTGAAAGACAAAATCCGAACGGGGGATTGTTAGAAGTTCACTGTGTGCGTACCGGAGGGTGCTCCCCTTAAATTCACATATTTGGGGGTTCTCAACGCAAAACCAGAAGCCTTCTGCTCAGTGTATCCGGGCTCATTTCAGAGTACTGTCTTTCTAAGAAAACTCCACCAGCTCATCACCTTCTTACCTTCCAAAAAAGTGTGAGGGCCGGTTTCCTGCCCCGCCCGGCTGGCACAGAGCACCTCGGCGTTTGTGAACTGAGCACGACAGCTCCCAGGCTTTGAACGCCCCGGAGCCCCCCGGCCCCTCTCTGCAGGGGGTCATGACATGCGGCAGGTCCTGTGGCCCCCCCTCCCCCCGGGCTCGCCAGCTTGGCATCGCGGGGCCAAGCTCAGCTGCTCCGATTCCGCGAAAACACCACTATTTCCCCGTTATTCTCTAAACGACATCATGCCCCGGGAGAGAGAGATTAGGCGGGACGGAAGGCAGCTGGGTTGCAAGCGGGGAACCCAGTTTAAGAGACACGACGTCGGGTCTAGTTGCAGTGTTAAATGCGTTTTCAAGCTCCTGCAGGATTTCAGGGAGCCTTACTTAATGGGAACTGTCCCTAAGAGGAGACTCTAATCTGCAGGCAGAGCCCACATCTCGCACAGGCTGTCGGTGCGGGCGCTCCCTCCCCCACCCCAGTTATTTTTGCTGAATTAAGAAGGTGACATTATTCTTTTCTTCAAGTACTTCTGTTAATATTGAAAAACGTGCGCTTGCATTTCAAGCGGCCGCGCTCAGTCTCAGCAGCCATTTCAATATTAATGAAATTGTTTAATCTCCTAAATTCATCGTGTTTAAGTTACGTTTTGGTGAGTTATTGACCGACTCCGAAAATATTGTTAATGGAGTGGATGCGTATTCACCACAACGGATCTTTCTTCCAGGGCTTGCAGCTCCTGAGCCAATCTTTTATCCTAGTTCTAGGGTAACAGGATGCACCGCAGCCTCGGGAATACACATCACACAAACTTCCCCCATACACCAGTGCTAGCCTGGGACCTCCAGGGCCTGAGCCTCCTCCCGGAGCACCCGGCTGGCAGCGAGGTGCTCGGCGGAGCTGCGGCTCCAGGATCGGGCCGTGGCACTGGGGAAGGAGGCAGGAGAGCGGAGCAGAGAAAGCCGCAACTCGCGTCTTAGACAGCCCGCCTGCTTGTACCTACTTGAGCGTGTGCACCGCGAAGCGCAGAGGCACAAGCTCAGCGTGAGCTCGTTCAGGGACTCCCGCGGGAGGTTTCAGGAACTACACCAACGCGCGCGTCTAGAGCGGGGGGGAGGAAGGCAAACTTCCCCCGGGCGGGTACGGAGGAGCCCCAGTCTTTTCTCTTCGCCAAAACAAGCCTTCGCGAGCGAGGCAGGGCTCAGCCGGAGATGGCAAAGAGAAAGTCTCTCCTTACCAGGGAAGAAGACTCGCCTTAAGTTAGCCAACAATACAAATCAGATAACAATGCAGAACAAACAGAATACCACAGCCAAGCAATTTCCATGTCAAACATCCCACTGCTCGGTAGCTCCATTTGTAAGTGTGAATTGCAGACTAAGCTTCCTGCAAAGTCCACAGAAAGGTTAGTGCATACCTTCACTCCCCCTCTCCCCCCCCC